CGTAACACGTTCTATCGGACAGCATCGCTCAGTCGCTCCTGAGGAATTGGCGAGAACACGTCGCATAATACAATTGAGTCTATAATTTTGTGCATTGAAAATTTGTAAATACATATACAATTATATGTTTTCAATTAACATAAACCGTATAAAATTCTTCCTTTCTCTTTACGTTCTAAATGGAAAAACCAGCTAAAAAGCAATAAAAACAGCACTGAGCGTATGTTAGATGCTACAAACATGTCTGCAATCAATGTTTGCAGGCTGGCTCCAAAATTACTTCAACACCATCCAGGCAACGGAAATGTCATACGCTATAATCTAAAATTGTTCACAATAATATTTTCAGCCTGAAAGCGGTTGAAAGATGAGAATATTCACCCTAGGCCAGAAAAAACAATATTCTTCAAAAAAAAAGACAAAACAATATTCTTATGAAAAAAAAGAGTGTAGTGGGGACGGCGGGATGTAAGCATAATTTTAAGCATAAATTCACTTTCTCTTGCTTATGCTAATGCTTATGTCGCTGCTAGGTCCAGTGGGGACATGGTTGGCATAAGCATAAGCGAAAGACTTTCAGCCAATCAGCGAGCACTTTATCCTTTGGTCCCCACTGGACATAACAGCAACATAAGTGTTACTCGCTCACCGACAGAGCTTCAAAGCAAGATCTCAACGGTGTCTCGAGTGGGAAACAGCGAACTATAAATCCACAAAACAGTCAACACTTTCGACCATGTGTTTTCTTGTTTATTACGCTTATACCGCAAGGGCTTATGGGAGTTACAACTCTAGGGGGATTATGGGTCACGACCCTCACATAAGCATGAAGCTAAGCACAAGACGAACACTTGTGTTTATGTCGTAGCCGTCTCCACTAGCGCATAATAAGCCTCTTGTGCTTATGTTTAAGGTTGTACAGCTCTACAAATACCGATCCTCTGAAATTAGCAATGAAATTTGACAAATGCTAGGAAATCCCACAGGTAGTTAATCTCGGAATAACGACCCTCTGAAAGAAGCGACCACAAATGTAACTTGGGTATGGGTAATAACTGCAGAGAATACAAACAAGAGACTATGATCTAGATACAAAGTACTATTCTGGCTTGATATAAATTCTTTTCT